TGATTGGTTAAAAAATAAAATCCAATCCCTATAACGAGAGAATTGGGAGAGAAACCAAACCCATTTTCTTTTCCATCTTTTTTTCCACAATTGCCTAGGTGTTAAAAAACATTTTGCCATTGAAGTCTTCAATATGATACTTGAAAGAAAAATTATTACACATAGCTGTTGTACCAACCTAAACATTTGGTATAAGCAAGATACCTAACACTTTCAATTCTTTTAACCATTTATGGTTTCAAATGCCCATCCATAGTATTTGGAGGTGTGATATAATCACACTAGTTATCCAACCAGCTTCTGATAGTAGTGACATTATACTAAATTTACATTTATCTTAAATGAATATATTGCAGCCCATTCTTAACATCTGTAGTGTTTTTCATTTGTTTCTTAAGTCAATGTTGAATCCTGATGACTGCCTGGACAAGTCCCTGCAGTTCTGACAAGATTTTCAGAAGTGGTTGGCCATTGTGTCCTTCCCAGAGCCACGAAAGAGAGGCTGGCCCAAAATAATTTAGTTGCCATTGGGTCTAAGGAGAGAGTACTAAAGAAGTGAGTTTCCTAGTTTCTGGCTTGCTGTCTTGGCTAACAACCCCCCACCCCCATCCCTTAAATTGACTAGGAGTTAGTAAAAAATGTTAACTAAATAATTCTAAACATAATCTCAAACCTTATTTTTCCCAAATGTGATTCTCTTCACTGTGTTAGATATTATGGTAGAGAAGAGAAACATGCCTTACACCAGGGAGTGCATTGAATAGATTAATACAGATCTCTTAACAGCCTGTTTTATGAGACCAGTGAATCCTGAATATATGTTTAAGTCAGACCCAACGTTCTCTATCTCAGGGCAGTGATTCAGAAAACAGGCTAGGTAGATAAACAGTTTTGGTTCAGACTGGCCAAATAACTTGAGATGTAACACTATGAAAAGAGAACAAGACTATTGCTATTGGATCCACTGGTACAGGAACACATTGTATGAGCTATTTAAATATCAATACTTCAATTGGGAATATATGAGTGGGAGGATAAGAAGCAGTTTTACTTTCACCAATGATTGTGACTACGACAAAATGGCAAGGTATGTTTGAATTATAACTCCTGTTTTCCTGTGCTAATAAATTACTGCTAAAAAGTGTGGAGAATAGAGGGCGGGGCTGATGTCGCTATGATATGACATGCAATCTTGGAGCTCCAGGATTGCTGTCGATATCTCTGCTGCTGGACGGTCCTTTTTGGACCTAAACCATCCCGTAGAGACGGTTGATACAGAAAGGCACATCCTGCTGATCTCAGGGACATCGCAAAGCCCCTGATCGATCCAGAAGCTCTCTTTTCCCGCTACAAGAGAAGCGCAGCCATTGAAGTTGCAAAAGGTTGGGACAGACCCCTGAAATGGAAGCAGAACAGGAGAGAGAGGGTGTCGGAAATGGTGAGAAAAATTTTACTATTACAAAAGAGAACACCCAAAAAGACTTAGAGCTAAATTAAAATTGAAGATAGAAGAAAGCAAGCAGCGAATTGACCGTTGTCTTACCTGAACGGTCCTTCTATGGGTGCTGCGAAGGGAATCCAATCATGGGTTAACTTAGCCCTCTAGCCTTGAGACTAAGTATGTAAAATTTTCAAACCACGCCTCCTCTGGCTGGACTTCTCCAGTTTTCGCACGAAGTCCGCCGAAGAATAAGTATGTCAATGTCAATCGAGCCGTAGGCAATCCGGTATTAAGTCACAGACAGAAGTCCAGTCAGAAGGTAAGTCAGTTACAGAGTCACAATCAAGGTGGAGCCCTGGCCAGCCGAAACTGCGGGCGGGTTTGGATCCCCTTCGCAGCACCCATAGAAGGACCGTTCAGGT